TTGGGGCTCTAGTTGCTCCATATGCCTCAGAGAAGAGGAAGCTACAACATACGTACAAATTCTACTGTGCTCCGGTGTATACGAGGATTAATGAGCTCCGGTATATTTTATATACCAGGATTTTCGGCCGTTAAAAATTGCTCATTGGATCATTGACGAAGAATTTAACGGCAAAAAACCCAGTGCATACTAGAAGATTTTCAAGATACAACTAGAATATGCATTTTCAACAGATGAAATACGAACTGTGGTCACTTCCAGTCGATAAATAATTAGATGAAAAGGTCAAAAAACATCTACATTTGGAGGTGGGTAAAAAAGAATACCATCTAGGCTTCAGCTGTGGGATTTTTCACCGGAGAGACACTGCAGTAAATTGCAGTAACTTTTTGACCGGCTTTGCGTTTCTACTTTTGTCCTCAGAAAACGGCTGACTGAATTTTGACCGACGCATGTGAGTGGATTTACCGCTTTACCCCATCAGGATGTGGCTGTAATTTTCCATTCCATAGTGATGCTGTTTCGAAATTACGGGTCCGGTTGCGTTTGTTTATCCAAAAAACACTTCTGTTAATAAAAGCTTTTGTTAGAAGTGCTTCTAGTAGATACATTTTCATAAGCATTTTTGCTTGAAGCACTTGAATTGGTGTTTCTATGACCCAAAAAGCAGTACTTTTAAGCTGCCCAATGGAGAAAGAGAAAGGAAAAAAACTGAGTTGCATGAAACATCACTTCAAGAGCTTCCATATCACATTTGCATTACACATTCCGTGAAAGAAAAGACTCGATCCTCATCTCTTCGATTGCTAACTTTTGTCGATACATAAGATGCTATACTTTATGCACAAATCTTTAACATTGCTCATGCCAATGGCATTCTGCATTCGAAATTGTACAAGCCTACACAGAATAACAATCAGAACTTCCTTGTGCATTGCTCCACTCGTGACCTTAAAAAAAACAAGGATTAAAAATCTCTGCATCGCGTCAAGGGGCCTGGTTATCCCATTTCCACCTTTGTCCTACCTCCCCGAGCACCTTGGCACGAGCTTGGCTTTTTCTTGCTTCATCCTCTAGCCAAGATCTGCATCATTGTGCAAAATTATTAGAATCATATATAAATATATCCATGCCATTTCATTAAAAGATTAAAGTTTTCGGTCTTGGATGAAGCTTCATGACAATGTCCTGTTGTATTTAACAGAAAAGTTATAGCTAATTTATGCAAAACATGCTTTAGAAAGAAAAGGTCAAGAGCCATAAAGTTAACCTAAACTCGAAATGTTACATTTTAACACCCACTCTAGTAATATGTGTCTATGCATTATTAACAATAATTGCAGTGATGATGAGTGATACCTAAGAATCCGAATAGCTTCTATCTCAGCTTCAAGTATAGATTTCGTATCAAGCATACTTTCCTGCTTCGTCTCTAAATCGTTGAGCGTGTCCTGCAAATCACACTTCTCAGCAACATAAGTAGACCTCTCGGACGCAAGCTTTTCTGACATCTCATTGACCTCTTCCTTGAGACTGAGAAGTAAATGCCTCTGAGAGTCCATAGCTGCCTTCTCCTTTAACATCTCAGCAAAATTCTTTTCTTGGAAAATTTTCTCCTGTTCCAAATCCTGAAGGGCAGCAAGATAAGCATTCTCCACCTCAAGACCATGTGCTTTCTCTGCATTCATTTTCTCATCCCAAAACTTTTGTATGTCTTCCCTGTCGAGCAATTCTGACCTGATAACTTCCATCTCAGCCTTTCTTGCAGAATTTTCAGCTTTTATTCTCAACAATTCAGAAGCAACTGATTCCGCGATCCTGCCACTTGTCAACGCCACTGCTGCTTGTGCTTTTGTTGAAGGTTTGTTTGGCTGAAGCCGCTTGCACTGTCCTGCAAGATAATATGCCATGGCGTTCTTAGAATAAACCTCATACCATACATAGAAAAACATAAACATTCATATATGAGCCTACATATCCGCTTGTTAGTTTTCAAAGTGTGGAAACACAAGTTATTCATCAAATTTGTGTTGATGTGTGAACGGTTGGAAGTTTTAAATTACTTTAGAGTAGACATGGAAACTGGGAATACCAAAAACTTTTCTGAGTATGCTACTTTCCTCTGTCAGCATGTCAATATATAGTCCTGCTGGTGCATCTGAACTTATCCCTTTCACATCCATAAAACCTACTGTTGTTGTGGTTGATATCTGGACTGTAAATAAGTCAGATTTCAAACCAATGACTTAGGAGGCATGGTTTACTCTTGGGGAAAAATCAGAAAAATCACGGATTGATGATTATGTTTGTGGTCTTCCTTACCTTCTCTATTACTCCTGGCAAAAAGTCATACTCTAAATGGGCTTTCCAATCAATTAGATCTTGTCGAGAGATAAACCTGCAGCACCGTGTACTATTTGAGTATAAAAGGAAACTCAAGATATTAAGAAAAACATCAAACATACTTTCTACCTCTCAGGTGAAAAATTGATATTTCCATAGCCATTTAGACCGTCATAACTGGAGCTCTTCTGTGATAACTTGCTAGGAATGACACCAGCCTCCGCAAGAGCTTAGGGACAGGATGCAGAAGCAAAGATTAAAATACAATCTTTATGGACCAAATACCAATCAAATTGCAGATAAAAGAATCAATCCTCACCTTGAATGGACCCAAAATCTGGGTCTTCAACACACACATCATCAAATGCAGAAATTATGGATCCAGCAAGTGAAACTGATGGGATAAGCAGGTGCTTTGCATTCCTATAAAGTTAATTAAAAATATCTAAGGAAAGACCATCCTGAAGATATAATCAAAAAATATATAATTTATTTCAAGGTGTGTACGTATAAATTAGTACCTTTCCAATGATGAGTTTAATTGAACTAGCCATCTTGCATATTCCCTTCTAGTACACAACTCATCAGCCTTGACATCATTTTCAATGATCTGTGTACCTTAATTACAGTTGAGAAATTCATGCTCAGAACTCGACCCAGAGCTTCAGTCATATAAGAACACTAAATGTACAGACAAGAACATGTCACAAGTCCAAAATTTCAAGACTGTAAAACGTCACTAATAGTAAGTACATAAATCCTACATTAAAAAAAACAGATTGAAAGTTCCATGGGGATTCAAAATTATATTTAAAAATTTTGTTCCAGAAACTTGCAATCAGTGAGCATGCCACCCAAATCTCAGAACCAGTTTAGTCAGTAAGCTTATGTCTTTAGTCCTTACTTCTAAAATGCAGATAAGACATAAATATCAGCATCTTAAAAGACCCAATAAAGATTTGACAGCACTCAATAAAGAAGTAAACCTTCAGTTTCTTCAAAACTGCTAGAGCTTCCTGTTGAGTAGAATCCACAGCAACAGGGATTATAATGCGTTCAAGCTTCTCCACATATGCTGAATTAAAAAAAAGAAGATACGTAAGAAAACCTCTGCGAATTCATCAGTATAAAGACAATTTAGACATAAAAATAAAATAAAATAATAGGGTATTTCTTAATACCTTAAGAAATGTTCAATTTAATGTACCTGAAGTAACATTGTCGCTATCAACAACAGGTACAGTCCCTGGACTTGCCTCAGGGACCGCGGCATCCTCATCCAATGCTACTTGGTTAGCAGATTCAGTATCAGATCCCTGACTCAATATCCCGTGAAAAGAATGCAATGGACTCGTAATTTGAAACTTAAAACCTACAAAAATAGAACAATGTAGTACGCCCAACACACAATTTAGCAAATGCCCGACCATACAAAACCACTAGAGCTGTTATCCTAAAATAAAGTAACCAAATCAACCCAGTTGGAACAGCAATTCACTACAAAGGAAACTTAATCACTAGTAACCCATCAAAAGAGCCAATAAGTGAAAATGCAGACCTCTTTTCGACCGCGAAAAGTGAGAAATGGCGGCAACTATTACCGCCAGTGAAGCCCCAATGCCCACAATCACAAATTTAGGTAACCCTGCAACAACCAACAAATTAAAACAAAAGTCTTAAACTTTTATGTGAGGTTGTGCGAAATTCATTAAATTCATGATTAATTCAGACCTGGACTTCTGCGGGGAAGCGGAGAATCGACAATTTCCCAACCGCCATAGTCGCCGTCGGCGGATTGGTCCGATGGGAACCATGAAATGTCGAGGTTTCGCTGGGCGAGCGAAGCAGAGAGGCGCAGTCTGGGCCTTGTGGATTTGGGTTTCAAGAGAATTAGGGTCGGGGAGAGAGTACGGCGTCGTATAAGTAAGGAAGTGTATGAGGGAAGGAAGATGGAGGAAGAAGGAGGTGCACAAGAGGAGCACATGATTATTGATAGCTGAACGAGATTTGGGGATTAGGGTTTTGAATTTGCGGTGGGAGGTGAGAAATGATGAAGCTTTGTAATTGCAGAGAGAGAGAGAGAGAGAGAGAGAGTGTGTATTTGGGGTCGGAGAGTGGGAGGTGGGAAGTAGGAGGTGGCAGTGGAATCTGTTTATTTGGTGCACCCAATTTATGTATATCTAATCACGTCGTCCGTAACGCAGTTTTTACACAAATATAGCACAAGCATTTGGCCTGTCTAATTTAAGTTGTTGACCAGGTCATCTGTAACGCAGTTTTCACAAAAATATAACACAAATATTTGGTTTAGCAGTGCCTATCGAAGTTTTTCTCATTAATTAGTTGCTACAAGACCAACCTAGTATTAGTCGCCATTGAACTCGTGATTGATTCATAGGCATTGATGTAATTGGACTTTAATGTTGATGCACGATTAATTTTAGCAACCCTCATAGTATGGAGACGAACTTCACATTGGTCTTTTTTTTTTTTTTTTTGGCTTAGGACTGAAGTGAATGATTTTTTTCATAAGATTGAAATGGATAAATTTTTCTAATAAGTAATCCATCTTCTGCCACAATTCTTTCATTTCTTCTTTCTACTAACTTCGAACGATAGTGAGTTATCCAATTCAGTTTAATCCTTGACACCGAGACTGAAAATGTTTTGTCAACTGGGTTAATTCATACACCAACTTGGATCAAACATTTACCATCACCAACAAAATAACATTTACAGAGTAAAAAACACAAACCAAGATTGCATCGTTGCAAAGATCACTAGATGAGTTTAAAAAAAAAAAAAAAAAAAATGATTAAGAAGACATGGACTTTTTGCTGTCTGATGAGTAAATGAGTTTACTTTGAAGAGCTTGGTATTTAGGCGACGCTGCAGCCAAAATTACAAAGCCGCTGACCATTGCCAGCCCCAGTCCCAAACTATTCACAACCATCGACTCGGTACAGTGTTTAGACACATTCCTCTTCGTTTGTAAGAATGTCAACTTCTCCAAAAGCCCCGTTTCTGCAGTTGCCACGGCCAGACCGTACGTGTAGAGTCCAAGGAAGATGTGCCACGGCAACACCCTTAGCCTCACCGAGCGCACTTCCCCTCGATGCCAGAAGCTCAGGAACCCCATCAACCACTGCAAATTGGAAATCTAATAAGTTTTACACTCGGAGCATGAACAAGTATTGAGCTTATTAACCACGGCAACAGTAAGGTCGAGGGATGTTTGTGGCTACTTCTAAGATGAGCAACACTTCTGTTTATAACTGCGTCAAAATTTTTATTAAAAATTCAAGTGCTTCACGACATAGCACCTCTATAAAGCACTTTTATTATCCAAAAACATTTTAGCACCTCCATAAAGCGCATGTAGTACATTTTTGGGTTGTATTAATAATTGCTTTCCTCTGGCCCGTTTGATAAATTATTTCACTGATATGATTGAGGGTTGATGCTACTATACAGTCAAGATGGCCTACAAGCTTACTAAAACTCCAAATCTGTAATTATCCTAAAATATAATATTGCTTTTGTGATTAAACCGCTATGTTAACGTCCCTGTTACATGTAAGTTTCTGGAAGAAGTGTCAAAACACCAATGTAGTTTCCCATAAATCAAATAATTGCATCAAATATGAGTTAAATTTAGAAGTATGAAGAATTTACCTGAGCTCCAAACAAGAGGATGCAGATCAACCCCATCCAAGAATGCAAACTATAGAAATTAGCCACAATGCCTTTCTGCCCTTGAAATTTAGTCCAAATCCCAACTATCCCAGAAGCCAAAGCCATGCCTTGAAGACACAAATGCACTGATTTCTTCAAACTCCTTGAACCAGGCAACCACCTATGGATCAAAATTGCTGCAGAAAATATAACAAAAATAAAAATAAAAAATATTCAAAACCCAACTCATACCGATGGGAAATGATTTCCATACACATTTCCCGTTTATTTCTGTCCGTTGATTCTTCTTTGATTCTTTCAATCGAAAGACCAGAGATAAACACGTTCGCAAAACGGAGAAAATGGGCGTGTGGAAATCACTCCTCTTATCAATTAAAGGGTTTGCTTCAATTTTTAAACATGTTGCTAAAAAACTTCCATTACCCTCTCCACTAATGAGAATAAACCCAATGACCATGAACAGAGGATGAAGAGCCTGCAAAAACAACAACCACCCTTTTCAAATTTTTTAGCTTCAAGAAATGATCAATTGAGATATTATCTGGGTTTTGAGAGTAAATTAAGAGGTGTGAATAGAAAGAGCGGAGAGGGTTCATACTGAATAGATGAGGGCTTGGTGTTCTTGTGGGGAAGAGTGAGGAAGGAAGCTGGATTTGAAGTAGAAAGCCCAGAAAATGACCAGAGCTGCAACTGCAAGCCCTGAGATTCTGGCAAAGAAGAGGAGTGGAACTAGTGAAGGTGTGACTGTCGCCATGGATTTGATACTTGCAGCTCCAACACTCTGAGAGCGAGAGTTCAGTGCACCGACAGCTGAAGTCTAGATCTAGTTTGGTAAAATAATACCAGGCACTTGCGTAAAGTTGCTTTCTTTCTCTAATTCTTTATGCGGAAAACACAGATGCTTTCACTCGAAGACTGTCCCACTGCATGTTCTTTTTAATGAAAATCAATTAAAATAGTTTGAAATTTTTGAATTTTAACAATAAAAATAAAATAAAAAATAAAATAAACAGTATTAGTATTGATTTTTTCATGTAAAAATATAATTTTTCGTTAAAATAAACAGTACTGAAAGTTTTTTTTGTTAAAATTTCCTTCTTTTTTGTTTTTTATGCAATTTCTGTTTGGATAATGCTTGTATTCTCCCATGCAGAATTTCTTTGTTTCACATTATTATTAAATGATGGAACAAGAAGGTTTCACCGTGAAAAAATACAAGCATCATCTTTTATGTTTTCATTTCGTGTATCAAGTTATTCTATTTCGTCAAGTTGGTTGAAAAAAAATTGATAATTTGACACTTACAGAATTAGAGCCATAACAAAGAAAAATGCCAAGATTCAAGCAAACTTGACGAATTAGAACCATCACAGAGTTGCAAGATCTGTTTTTGTGAATTTGTTACACTATTATTTACAATTTTTGCTACATTGATTAAACCTAATTTCTAATCTATGTGCTTTTATTTTGTGTCTCGTGTTACTCCATTAATTAAAATTTTATTCATTTTCAATTTTTGATCAAGATCCTTGGGTTTTAATAAACATTATTAATTATTTCAATAATAAAATATTTTTTTATTTCTAATATATTCATTTAGTGTTAGAAATTTTACATTTGGTATATTTATATTTATGGCTAAATTTTTTATCATATATTTTTAGGGAAGTGTTATTGAAACTCCAAAAATCACATTCTACACTCCTCACAAGTGTATTTTTCTTTCCTAATATAGAAAGTTTGGAGTGTATAATGAGATTTTTGAGTGCTAATAACAATTCCCTATTTTTATTATTAGTTTGTACCTATTTTTAATTTGCAACCTTTTTTTTATTTTTATCAATTTTCTTTTCAGTTTTAATTTGTACCCATATATATATATATATATATATATATATTGTGCCCATATTTTTTAAAGTTTTATTTGTATTTGTACCCATATTTTTTAATTTATTCCTTTTTTAATTTTGCTAAATGTACACATGCTAATTATATGTATTTATTTTATGTTTTAAAATATATCGGTAGTTATTTTTTAAAATATGTTAGTAATTATGTGGGTATGTTATTTGTAACATCCCACATCATCCAAGGGAGTGGATCATGTAAGCCTTATATGTATATTCTCATCTCTACCTAGCACGAGGCCTTTTGGGAGTTCATTGGCTTCGGGTTCCATCGGAACTCCGAAGTTAAGCGAGTTCACGCGAGAGCAATCCCAAGATGGGTGATCCACTGGGAAGTTCTTGTGTGAGTTCCTAGAAACAAAACCGTGAGGGCGTGGTCGGGGCCCAAAGCGAACAATATCGTACTACGGTGGGTCTAGCCTGGGATGTGACAATTTGGTATCAGAGCCAATCTCTGCCCAAGTGTACCGACAAGGACGTCGGGCCCCTAAGGGGGTGGATTATAACATCCCACATCGCCTAGGGGAGTAGATCATGTAAGCCTTATATATATATATATATATATATATATATATTCTCATTTCTATCTAGCACGAGGCCTTTTGGGAGCTCATTAGCTTCAGGTTCCATCCGAACTCCGAAGTTAAGGGAGTTTGCACAAGAGCAATCACACTACATACCGGGCTCGACTCCATCGTAGCACGATATTGTCTGCTTTGGGCCCCGACCACGCCCACACGCTAAAGCTTACAGGATCCACTCCCCTGGGCGATGTGGGATGTTACAATCCACCCCCTTAGGGGCCCGACATCCTCGTCGGTACACTTGGCCAGGGATTGACTCCAATACCAAATTGTCACATCCCCGCCTGGGCCACTCGTAGCATGATATTGTCTGCTTTAGGCCTCGACCATTCCCTCACGGTTTTGTTTCTAGGAACTCACACGAGAACTTCCCAGTAAGTCACCCATCCTGAGATTGCTCTCGCGCAAACTCACTTAACTTCGAAGTTCCGATGGAACCCGAATCCAGTGAGCTCCCAAAAGACCTCGTGCTAGGTAGAGATGAGAATATACATATAAGGTTTACAGGATCCACTCTTCTGGGCGATGTGAGATGTTACAATCCACCCCCCTTAGGGGTCCGATGTCCTCGTCGACACACTCAGCTAGGGATTGGCTTTGATACCAAACTGAAACACCTCGACCAAAATCAAGGCGTGACAGCCATCACGCCTTGATTTTGGTTGGGGTGTGTCATTATTTTCTTACTATAATTTTGTGAAGAACAATATTACTCTAATATTTATTTTTAAGTATTTATTATATTTTAAAATATTATTTGAAGTTGTTTAAATTTTGTAATTTGTGGGACATTAAATGAATTAATGCATGAATTAAATCTCTTAAATGATGTTAAGGACCTCGATCAAAATATTTAAACAAATAAAACTTCAGTCTAACAATTAAATTGATTAAGGACCGAAACCAAAATAACCCTTTAATAAATTACATTTGTGTATTTATTACGCTATTATTTACAGATAAAAAATAGTTTCTTACAAATAAAGCAAGAAGCGTCTAACAAATTCTTTGTTTAGATTTTAAATTCTGGTTTCAACTTTAAATAGGATGCTTTGTGTTTTGTCACGTGCCTCGTGTTGTAATTTTGTGAGATTATAAAGTAATTAAGTTAATCTGTGGATGCCATGTGTCAGTTTTCTGTAAACATTGAGTGTTTGCCATTTTGTGCGCGCATGACGCATAAGTTTTAAGGTGTGATATCCACACACTTATTTACACTACTCACACTTTTTTAATTTTTAGCTTTCAGATTGAATGAATAAAAAAAAAATCAAATAATAAAAATTAATAAAAAGTAAGTGAAAATAAAAAAAAATAATGTGGATAGCACACCCCCTAATTTTTCCTTGGCCCTGGATTTTTGTAGAGCTGCTGCCTAAGGACTTTGTCCATGTCAATGGGATGTTAATTAAAAATTTAAATACACTTTCTTAATGTGGTTTTTTAATCATTTATATGTGTTTGCTAGTTTGTCTATTGATGATATAAGAATATTCAGTGTATATATGGGGGGGCTTTAAGAACAAGATCCTTTTCGGATCTTCGTGTCTGAAGTCAACAGATTTAGAGATTTGGACTTTTAAATCTTGCAGTCTTTATTGGTACCAAGATGCACGGTGCTTTGATTTTTCAGAATAAGAAGAATGGAGAAAATGCTTCGAGCCAATGTTCGAGTACCAAGCACCATGGTGTTGAAGTAATTCATGTCATACTTTGAGGAAAAGCTTGAACGACCTTCAACAAAATAGTATATGTACTTGGAATCAACAAAGGTGGGTGGGTAGGTAGCCCATTTCACTGGCTCACCCCACATAAACCAAAAGTCTGAATCTCTCATTCTTTTTGTTCAACGACTTAGATCTCTAAGTCCTTAAATTCCTTACACATAGATGAAAAAGAGGATCGGGACTCACAAAGATAAAAAAAAAAAAAAAAAGGTAGCATATATCTATATGGCCTACAAAATTGCCAAGTGGAGCATGGGCAGATTTGAAATGCCCCGCGACCAGAAAAGCTTGAAATGTAAGAGCTGGACGGCCGGCTTGATTACATCCTTGTATGCGGACGTAGAGGCAGTGTAGAATTTGAAGCAGAAAAAAAAAGAGGAGAATTTGTCAACTTGTGTTTGGGTTAAGCACTTTGCTTTGTCCATAACGTTATGGAAACGAAAGGAGGTATCAAAATACTCACTCGTACGGGTATACCAAGGCCTTCAGAGATTCCAACAATGGAACGGCAAATCGCAAATTAGATCAAGGTAACTCGAAAGCTCTTTCTGAGATGGCAAACAAAGATTTGTCAGTCTGCTAGCTGTTGCATAAGAAAGATCAAGTACTTTATTAGGGCTGTTATCTGTGCTTTTTTTGTTTTACTGTATGGTTTTTTACTTATCGACTTCTCGGAGTTTGATGGCCGATAACCTTTGTTAACCCTAGCTAGCATACAACCTTGATTTGTAGTAACATGCCAACTAAAGAAAAGGACACTATTCGGCATTTTATATATGCGGAGTCATTCTTACTTGCATGCGAATCTATATCCAATACATATTACCACAGTGATTAAAAGTATGTTTGAGATTGCTTCTAAAAGAGGCTAAAATTACTTTCAAACAACTAAAAATATTTCAAAATTTGGGCGAAAAAACTTAAAAGTGTATTCGTATCGTAGAAGCGCTTTCTAAGTGCTCTTTAGGAAACACTTGGAGTTTTACTAAAATTTGTGGCACAAACAGTCCCAAACGACCCCTAACTCGTTAAATTGATGAACTGTGATATGGCCAAAGTATTTTCCATTGTACAATCAATTTATGTTATACAGCTGGTCTTTACTCTGCATAAAGTATCTATATGCCTTGCTAGGCGCCCTATACAGTATTTTTCTGTATATTATATTGTGTTTGGTGGTGACTGACATAGTAATCATCATTCATTTTTTTGTAACTTCTAGTCTCAAATTTGAGGTACCTGCGAACAAAACCAATAAAAAAAGAATTATTGCGTCGTATTTAACAAGCAAAATGACATACAAAACATCTAAAATCAGCCGGTGAGAACCATATCCCAACCACTATATATAACCCCTTCGAATCTAAACACCAACACGCCCATAAACAAATAGCAAGTTAGAGAGAGAGAGAGAGAGAGAGATTATGGAGCCCTTCACCAAAGACTTCAAAGTAGGAGAGTGCGAAGGCCAGAAGGTGGTGCATGGTGAGACCATGCCACTGGTGCTGCAGCCTCCAGCACCCGAAAACAACGATGTGGAGTCACTTATTTTGGCTCTTCAGAAGAACAAGGACTGGTTTGATCAGATGCTTGTCAAGAACAGCGCTATCCTTCTCCGAGGTTTCAATGTGCAGAACGCTGAGGAGTTCAACGACATCATAGAAACCTTCGGTTGGGATGATATTCGCTATGTAGGACCGGCGCCAAGAACTCATGTGCACAAGCGAGTTTGGACTGCAAATGAAGGACCTCTCTCAGAGTTCATATACTATCACCATGAGATGGTCTTGGTAAGTGCATATATATACTATCACCATGAAAAATCACCTTATTTCTAGGGACATAGGTTGTCAAAAATATTGGAGAAGTCTCCTGGCAGTTTCATTCCTGTTTTCTTAGGTGACAAGGCTCGGCCTAGAATGTTTGTTTCTTGCAACCGAAAAACAAAAGACCGCGTTTTTGTTGCTTTAGGATCGGAGAAAGGTATCGAATTCATCGCTAGGAAGTGTGAAATTGATCATGTTTTCTGCGAACATATGCTGTGTCAGTTGCTTCCCTCCCCTGCACCAAAGCACAGAGAGATTAATAAGTTAATTAACTGTCATATATCTTGATTTAAGCAAACATTTTTTACTTGAATTTTTTAAGCCAAGTCAAAACATGGACTCATTCCAACCTTAGTATGTTCCCTGCAAACATGTACCGATGACTCTTGTATCGTAAACTAAAATTCGAAGAGTTGACTCTCTATATTCTAATTAATTAACCCCAATTGACTGTGTCTTAACTAATTAATTAACCTGCAGATTAAGGAATATCCCAAAAAGGTCATCCTATTCTGTGAGATACCTCCACCAGAAGGCGGGCAGACCCCATTTGTTCCGAGCTTCCGAGTGACGGAGAGGATGCTGGAGGAGTTCCCGGAAGCTGTAGAAGAATTGGATGCAAGTGGCTTGAAATACACCTTCACAGCACCAAGTAAGAACAGCACAGGTTCTATGAGGGGCAGGGGTTGGGAGGATACTTTTGCCACATCAGACCGTGCAGAAGCTGAAAAAAAGTAATACATTCATATTTTAGTCCATTATATAATGTGTCGACATCATTGCCACCAGCTAAAATGGACAATGTTTGTTTACTTGTGGCAGGGCTAATGCTTTAGGCATGGACGTCGAGTGGCTAGCAGATGGGGGAATCAAGACGATATTAGGACCGAGGTCGCTGACGAAGGTGTTTGAAGGAAGAAAAGGGAGGAGAATGTGGTTCAACACGATGGTTGGCATGCATGGGAAGGAGAACAGCTCGGCCCTGATGGCGGACGGGACCGAGATTCCGGCAGAGCTGGTGAACAGATGTGAGCAGATAATCGAAGAAGAAAGCATCCAGTTTAAGTGGGAGAAGGGTGATGTTCTCTTCCTTGATAACCTGGCTTTGCTTCATGGAAGAAGGCCTTCTCTTGCTCCCAGAAGAGTCTTGGTTGCCACATGCAAGTAGAACAACCATCGATCTCATGATATGATTACCACAGTATCTTCTACTTTCATCAAAGCTGTATGCAACTATGCATGCTATGCATTTACGAATAAGCTACTCGATATCGGAGTCATTAAAGTACGTATACGTAATAAGATCTCAATTTGTGATTTCAAATTCAATTTGGTGAACTTGAAAGGCATATAGCGAATATGATATGCAATTAATTGGGAAAGAAATAAACAATTAAATTGTGTGTGCATTCCCTATATCATATCTCAAACTCTTATTTTCACGAGAACATGTGAAACTCTTTCATTTTCACAGCACATAACCTTGTTTAAAAATCACAAGCTTACGGCGCGAGACATAACATAAGTATAAGGCTAGGGAGACGTTTTTTATTGCATGGTCATTCAACATTACGAGAGAGAGAAATACATAATTATATACGTACACATATACATTCGGTAAGTTTTAGAGTAGATAAAGAGGGGAGAATTCCATGAAATTTTTGAAATTTGTATATAAATTGGACAAAAATAGTTACAAGAGATGAAACTACAAGTGCCTTCTTCTCCTTCTCTTTCAAACTCAGCTTATTCTTTGGCAATCAGCGTCTCACTTGCCCGTTTTCCGAAATCATCTTCAGAGTCCGCCAAAGGCGGATCCACAGAGGGATCTGGGAGGTCTTAGGACCCCTCAGCGATCCTAAAATGCTGCTAGAAATTTTCCAGGGGACCCCTCAACGAGAACATAGCGGGGCTAGGGGGGAGAAGAAAGAAAACATGGTTTTTTAAAAAGTTGGTCCAAAATGCCATGTTTAGGCCAATTTGTTTAATTTAATTTAATTTTTGTTAAAAACTAATGAGACAAACGGTGCCGTTTGTCAATTGTCCCTGATTCCATATGCCTAGCCTCACATGGGCCATCTTTCCCAAGAGTCCCTTTCCTTTCCCCCGTTCCGTTCCTCTGCTTTTCCCCCTAATCCCCATCTTTCTTATATTTACCCAAAACCCTAAATTTCTAATCCCATCCAATCTCATTTTATAATTACATTACTCCAAGAAAGACCAATCGTCATCATTACAAAGTGGAGCTCTTTTTTGAGGTCATTGATTTCCAACTTACAGAATTAGATGATCGCTTCGATAAAAGTAATACCGAATTGCTTATTTGCTTGGCATGTTTAAGTCCAAATGATTCATTTGTAGCTTTTGATAAAGAGAAGCTTGTTCGCCTTGCTCAAATGTATCCTGAAGATTTCACAGATCGAGAGAGATCGGTACTTCAAGATCAACTTGATATTTACATTCATTTTGTGCGTTCTGATAATGATTTTTCTCAATTGCGGAGGATTAATGAGCTTGCTAAGAAAATAGTGGATAAAGGGTTGCATCGAACATTTGCATATGTATATTTGCTTGTTCAGTTGGCTTTGGTTTTATCGGTTGCAACTGCTTCAGTGGAGAGGGCATTTTCCGCTATGAATATCATTAAGGATCCACTTTGCAACAAAATGAGAGATCAATGGTTTGAGTGACAGCTTAGTTGTTTACATTAAAAAATATGTTTTTTCATGTATTGGTAATGAAGCTATCATGAAACATTTTCAGACTATGAAACCTCGTCGTGGACGTTTGAATTAGGATTTTATAGCTTGTAATGTTGTTTTGCACATGATTTTTGAATGAAATGTATTATATTTAACTTTTCAATGTTATTTTTATTTATAAATTTTTTGAACTTTTTTATTGGGACCAAAGTTTAAAATCCTGGATCTGCCAATGAAGTCTGCACCTCTGGGTTTATCAGCCTTCTTCCTTGTCAGCCATTGCTAATATGTAATCCAAGTCTCTGGTGGCGGTATAAGATGATGCTGCTTTCGGAATGTTGTAGTTTAATAATTCACTTCTACCACCACTTTTGAAGACTTGTGGAAGAGCCTATAAGAAACCTTAAATTCAAGTAGAATCCTTACAGCAACATTTTCAAATAATTTAAATTACATTGTTGTAAAATATTTTTGTAAATATTCAACAAAAAAAAATAAAAATAAATTCATACATCAATTTTTATTTCTTCGCAAAAAACATAACTAGAATGACTTCATTATTGGCTTATGTCATGACATGTGTCATAGCTTATGGTGTGGTCAATTTTTTTTTAAAAGGGATAACTCATGACAAGTCACAGTTATCCACTTTTTCTAGGCCCGGAAAGACTCACAGAAGCATTTCAACCTCCGACCACAAGTCTAGCTTCCTTTAAATTAAAAACTGGAGATCTTAGGTTCAAAACTCGCTGCCGATAGGATTTCAACTCTTTACAATCATTAAATTAAATTTTCCTATCTCAATCTCCTCCATTAGATTGTATATTTCTTGTAATCCTTTCACTTATACTAATGTCATGATCAATTCTTTCTTATCAACATAAGATTTCAACTCTTACTAATGTCATGATCAATTGTTTCTTATCAACATAAGATTTCAACTCTTACAACCATTGGATTAGATTTTCTTATCTCCTTTTTTAGTCTTCCACCATAAGTCTCCATCTCGTTCCCATTCAAACCTATTTCCGGGAATTGGATTTGATAATCTGCCGAGAGAGAGGCCATTGATGGTTGAGCAGTCGCCTGCAAGGCGGACATCGGTGCAGGAGGAGGGGTGGGGTGGTGGTTGGCTAGGGAACACCACACACATGATACATGCAGAATTCTATCCGAGTGACTTTAGCCAGGACCAACGCCGATATCAGCTACGACTTCGGTCGAATGCCAATAGGGTCGTCATTCCAGCCCCCAACCGTCAACGGGTGCCATGAATCAATCAACGAGAAAAAACTAAACAGAAGGTTTTCTTTCACTAAACTCGGTGCTTCTTGATTTGGTCAATAAAAAGGAATGTCAAGTCAGGTTGAAGAAACACATACAGACCGACCGGCAATTTGATACTGAAAAAAAAAAGCATTTACTTCTACTTATTCTCTGGACAAGCATAAATAAAGCAAAAAGCACAACACTAGCATAAGCCCTAAATCTCTTTGCTGTTCTGAAGGGCAAGATGAGGCTTTGAATGTTTACCAATACTAACTCTCATAGGCAGCACGAGTGGGCATGGCCCGGCCACGGCCCCTTGGGACATAGCCGCCGCCACCTCCATAACCCCTTCCATAGTAGCCACCACGACCACGGCCACCACGCCCAAGACCACGGCCGCCTCTTCCACCCCGGTACCTTGAAAAAGCGCCAAAAGTCTGCACCCCCAAACAAGCAACCGCATTAATAAAAAACTCCAATAACTAAGATGACAAAAACAAAAAGGTTGTTACCTCTGTATCTATCTTTATTTGCTCAGAGTATCTTGTCCTTCCATTCTGGTCATGACTCGTAGAATTGCACGAGATGGTATCAAAGAAGTCATCCTTATTGTAGACGGGCTGTGGCACAAAAACAAAATTAAACAAACTCAGATTACAGAAGTAATACAAGGATTATTACTTACAGTAGAATTCATCTAGCTAGAATGATAAAGATAGCCAATGCCACCTTGATTTCAACCTTCGATAACTCAGCCTCGTCTTCATCTTCAATGTCATCTTCATCACTGTAATTCCCATCACCCTCTTTGTGAGGTTTGTTACTCTTGCCAAGATGACCCCAAACCTCATCCTTGTTGAACTTCTCATTCATTGCCATGAAATCAAATTCTTCAGTGAATTTTGTTATAGGACGTGAACTCTGCACACCAACATGTTATTTATTTGTAAATTCAGTCCAATCGGGGGGGGGGGGGGGAAGATATTGGCTGCAGATAATTTGGGATTTATCAATATGTCAATTACTATAGATTAGAAGTAGTCAAAAGAATAAAAACACTTCTTCTGACTAAACACTTCCAATCAAGAAATTTCATTTTTAGTTCGCATTTAACAAACCACTGATATCCAACAAAATTCAAATTGTTGGGGAAAAAGGCTTCCTTACCCCAGTCCCCCGTCCTCTTTCACGTCCCCTATATGTATAACCCTGGCGATTTTGATTTTGGTATGGAGCTCCATTTGGCTGAGAACGCACATAGTCCTATTTATGGAAAGAGGGAGAAGCCAACGTCAGAACTCCTTGCAATCAAACCACAGAACACATAATAAATTTAAAAAAAAAAGAAACTTGAAGTCCTAAACCCTGACTACTAGACTAAACCGAGTTGGTGGAATAAGAGAAACCACCAATCCACAACAATTCAGTCATTTAAAAGGCTGGATCAAATTCAGGCTGACACCAGACATATGCAAATAAATCTAACAAAAAGAAATTCAAACAAAGAGCCTGCCCGACAATTCAGATTTTCATGGGGGTGAACACCCACACCATCTAATCCTGAATAATAGCAACTCAATCTAATAAGCATGTTGATAACTAAGTTGAAAATCACCCCACTGAATCACAATCCACTTTTTTTTGTTGCACCCAGCCCACATATACAAGGAGTCACAAAAACTAACTAGTCCAGAGGCATGCAAGAATCTGTGTGTGTGCGCGCGTGAGCGTGTAACACATGCATGTGCGACAAAACAACCTTTTGACCAGCCTGTGCAGGTTGTTGAGGAAGTGGCAATATTGGTGGCTGAGGTTCTGCTGAAAGTGGAACCGATGGTTCTGATGAGGTTGATGATGAAACTTGTACAACCTCCACATCCTTGTGAGCTGTTTGCAGAGATTGAGATGAAGAGACTGTAGCGGATCCCGACTGCAAAAGCTGGCCTGGGGTTACCAAAGAAGGCACTAGTGTTTCCGTGTGCAAAGAATTGGCTGTCCCAGCAACAGAGGAAGTCGTTTGAGATGCGCTTGGATAAGGCAAGGTTGGACCAGAAATTGCATGGGGCTTGTTAGAGATTGGTGGCACAACACTTGTATCTGGGCTTGAAGTAGCCAGAGAAGATAGTGGTGGCAAGCTTGCACTAAGCATGGCTGCCGAAGGTGCAGAGGGGGCAGAACTAGGTGCTTTGTTAGGCATTGAGCTTGGTAGAGTTTCAAGAGATAATGTTGTAGAAGGCACTGGAGGCAGAGTTGTTGGCAATGTTGACGGGGATAAAGAAGTAGCAGTCAAACTAGAGGAACTAATACTAGCAGCAGGAAGCACAGGTGGTGGAACTTCAGGCAAGTTTGAGGGCAAGTTTGAAGCTCCAGTAGGTAAGGAGGGAGTAAAATTGGCGTACTGCAGTGGCTGCTGCAGTGAAGAAGGCATTGACAGCCCAGGTGGTGGTCGAAGCAATGACTGCTGGTGTAAATGAGGTAGCCCATTTGGAGGGCCATAGTATCCTTGCCAATACATTGGCATACCATTTGCACTTGGAGGAGGCGGCGTACCACCCCATGACGCTAAATTGCCTCCAGGTTGATATAAAGGTAAACTACCTTGGAAATTTGGACCAGGGAGTCCCATCTGTGGAGCATGGGAATTAATATCCGTCAAAGATCCACTAGCTGGAGCAGGCAAGCTCGATGTTGAAGGAGCTGGGCGGGAATAGTGAGACTGCAAGAGAGGAAGGAGAGTTAGAGAGAGAGAGAGAGAGAGAGAGATAGAATAAATTAGCAGAGGTTGGCTAGATGCATCCCAAAAGTTAAAATTCTTTCTCTTACCTGGATAATAGCTGGATCATTGTTTATAGGTGGTGTAGGCTGAACAGGTGGAGAAGATTTAACCTGTAAATCCTGAAAACAAAGATAATAATGAAAGACTTAGGGTCTGGATATTAACATGAAAATATAACCAGAAGTAAATCTAGGCTACATAGTTCAAAACTGGCACCTCATTAAAGTTACATTTTCATCAAATATCATTATTACCATTTCAGTTGCCATATTTGAGCTTCAGTTTTAGCATCAGAGTGTAGTCAACACCAATTGCAACATTACAGGTTCTATTTTTACTCTTACTAAACAACCAAAGTCCATGCTACGATTGAAGAAAAATACCATCACTGTAATTTAAACTCATAAAGTCGGCACATTTTGAGGTTTTTTTTTTTTTTTTTATTTATTTATTTAAAAAAAACTATCAGACAAAAATATAGACACTCGTTGTGAAGTCCAATCTGAGGCATCTCAGTACCAACCTTGATGTCACTCCCGCGAAATAAAATATACTCATAAACTTTGTCTCCCGGTGGGATTTGTGCTCCATCCTTCTTTCTTCCTTCTGTTCCAAAAGATCGCACTGCCGTGTGAAAAGTAACAAATGAGCATCAATACATCCATCCATATCTCAACAATAGCACTTGACGATACAATATATGTACATTTATTATCCATGTCACATAAACTATTCATACAGCTCTTCCTAACCCTTTGAAGCAATTGTTTGGTCATAAAGCAAAGGGAAACAATTTTATAAAGAAAACCATGTAACCCTTCCAAATACATAAACGATAAACCATTTAGAATCAAATTTTGTACTTTTCTACAGAAATCCCCAAGCTTGATGTATTGTGCAATATGTACATAGAAGCGCATTGAGCCATATCAATTCTTCGCTATATCGTACTTTCAAACTCAATTCTAAGAACACACTAATTCCTGAATCGCATACTTTACATACTCACATGCATGCATGTCTTCACAATTCACAATTGAGTAAACTTTCAAAAATTCAAATTCCTAAATCAAGAATAATTAAACCAAAATGCCAATCGAGACGACTGAACTAGTAATAAACTAACAAATCAATTTGATTTAAACAAATGGTACATACAGAAAAATGAAAGGTTCCATAAAAAAAAACCATTTATTCCTTGCGAAATATAGAAAAGATAAACCATTTAGAATCACAAAATTCTACATTTTCACAAGGAGTCACAAAAATTTGCAATAAAATACAAAGAAGCACATTGAGCCACTGACAGTCAGATTCAATAGCAAATTCACAGTTGCCGAAAATTTAAAAAATCTGAAATCATTAATAATTAAACCCTAAAAATGCCAATCTAGACGAATTAACTAGTGATAAACTAAAATTAAATTAATCAAATTGACCTAGATAACAAGACCTAAACGGAATCCAGACAACAATAATCAAAATTAAAAATCGAGAGAGTAAAACGGTACCATTTCTGAGTCCAATACTGGACTCTTCGGTGTTGATGTTATAAAGCATGCCTTCATATCTGATCTCACTCTTGGAAGTCAAACTAATCAAGCTCCCTATGTACGAATCAGCCGCCGAGCTCGATCTCGCAGCAGTCTCCGTAGCCATGGACTCCGATTTTGAAACCCTAGCGCATACAGATTACAGAGTGAAAGGGAGGGGAGAGAGAGTAGGGTTTTGGTTTTGGGGGTGCCTTTGAGATTATCGGGTTCTCTCTCTTTTCGTGGGAGATTTAAGCCCTGTGATTTTTTGCGTTTTTGGTAATTTGATGATAATGACGATCTGACCAATGAGGATTTGACACGTGGTGGTTTGGGACTTGTTGGTCTTTTTGGTGGGAAACCGAGGAGAAGTCGGTCCCATTGACGAAAATGTTCATAATTTATGACTATGGTCTGTTCCTTATGCATAGTTGTATTGTACATTATCTTTGCCGGTGGGCCCGCCAATTAGAGGTGGAATGAATTGCGTAATTTTTCAGCGTACTCAAATATGATGCAAAACACAAAATGAAAATTTTTTCTTAAAAAACAAGCAGAGCGTAAATGTAGATTGTTTCGATTCCAACCACTTCTTTTCATTCTAGCAAACTAATTATTTAATTTAATGACAATGAGTTATTGGCTAATTTAGATTTTGAAAATGAAGCAACACTAAGGAGTTTAGATTAAACATGTTCTTAAACAAATCTAATTGTGCATAACAGCGAACCAAATTATCAATCAAACGACAATGTCAATTTATCACGATAGATTAAATCAAATTAGATTAGAGTAGAACTCAGTTTAAAGAAATGTATAGAATTTTAAGGGAAGAGTTACAGAAGAAAAGATTGGATTGAGGAATTAGCAAGAAAAATAAAAACAATAGAATCCATGCTCTTCACCGGTTAGTGTAAATAGTATTGTTTATAAAAAAAAATTTACAAATTAATATATTTTTTTTCATCTGGATGGCAAACTAACGGACAAATCGGGACATCAACACTGTGATGACACAAGTACCCTTAAATTTCATGGGCGCCGGCATCAATTAGAGTGTCAGTTGAGGGTAAAATCGCGATAAAAAACCGCAAGCCGAAATCAAAACAGGGAAGGGGAGAGCACTCTTCACTAATTTCCGTTGCGATCGCAGAGTCGAAGGCACTGAGAAAAATCCAAATTTCAATAGCCGTTGTACGGACATTCGAATTAGGGTTTTCAAGAATTCGCCCAATTTAATTTCTTGTATTGCTGCTCATTCTTATACGGAACTAGGGTTTCTTCGTGGCGGATGATGTTCACGCCACAAAGGAAGGCGTCGACGGCGGCTCTGTCGCTGACGCCGAGGAGCGGCGGCGTCGTTTCGAACCCTAGGAATACTGGGAAGGGTAAAGCGGCGGCGCTTGTCGATGGTCCGCCTCCGCCATTGGGCTCGCTGAGTGAGAACGGGCCTTATACGACTGCTGGATTAGATACCGGTGATATGGACGACTGGAGAGCGTTCAAAGAGGCTGGCTTCCTCGATGAGGCGTCTATGGAGCGCAAGGACCACCAAGCGCTCGCCGAGAAGGTCTCTAAGCTTCAAACAGAGGTTAGCCACTTGATTCTTGGTCTATCGAATGAGATTACAAGAACCGTTATTAATATCTTGTGCAACATTTGTACACAACGCAATATTCTGAATATATAATGATATATTTGTTGTTGGGCAGCTTTTTGATTACCAGTATAATATGGGGCTTCTCCTGATTGAGAAGAAAGAGTGGGCATCGAAGAACGAAGAATTGAGTCAAGCATTGGCGGAAACCCAGGAGATTCTTAAACGCGAACAATCTGCACACTTAATTGCAATATCTGAGGTTGAGAAGCGGGAGGAGAATTTACGGAGAGTATTGGTTGCTGAGAAGCAGTGTGTAGCTCAGGTATGCTAGCTTTGTTGTTTGTCAAATTGTGTAATGAAATTTTGTTTGTCAATGTGTATTAATTTTTTGTCACTGCAGCTGGAAAAGACTTTGCATGAAATGCACGAGGAGCATGCCCAAATAAAGCGCGAGTCTGAAGCAAAGATGGCTGATGCAAATTCATTAGTTGTGGGAATTGAAGAGAAGTCTTTGGAGACAGATGCAAAGTTGTGTGCTGCCGAGGCCAAGCTTGCTGAGGTCAATAGAAAGAGTTCAGAGTTGGAGATGAGATTGGAGGAGGTGGAGGCACGTGAAAGTGTGCTTCGAAGAGAGAAGCTTTCCTTAAGTACAGAGTATGTTTTTACGACCATGACACTTGCATTTAGGATATGCAGGATCCTAATATATATAGTTGTTCTGTTCTTTGCTGAATGCGAGACATCTTCCATTTATGATGTAGTCTGTGTTTATATTCTGGAGCATTTGGCTTTTAAATTTAATTTGACTTGTTCTTAATTTTGTTAGGCAAGAGGTACACAAGACAACTTTTTACAAACAAAGGGAAGACTTGAAAGAATGGGAGAGGAAGCTACAAGAAGGGGAAGAGAGGTTATGCAAGCTTCGGAGAATTTTGAATGAGAAAGAGGAGAAGTCAAATCAAAATGAAATGATTATGAAGCAAAAAGAGAAGGACATCGAAGAAGGGCAAAGGAAGATTGAAGCTTCGAACACTATGTTGAAAGAAAAGGAAGTGGATGTGAATAAACGGCTAGATGACTTAGTATCAAAGGAAAAGGTGTCTCTCGTATAGATGAGTTTATTTATTTATTTTTTTCTTTTCAGAAATGTATATTTGCAGCTTTGTTCATTTGACTGATGTCAATTTGGTTGCAGGAAGCTAATTCTTTGAGGAACATATTAGAGTTGAAGGAGAGGGAATTACATGAATTTGAGCAAAAACTAAGTTCGAGAGAAAATGTGAGTCCTAACTCTTAAACTCCTGATATTTATTTTTATGTAACTTATGACTCATAAAATTATATCTTCTGTTTTTCAAAGGGTTATATGTTTGTTTTCTAAATGGGTACTTTTGTGTAAAACATATTGAATGAATGCAATGTAAATGGGCTACATTTATGAGACCTGATGCCACTTGTCAAAAAAAAAAAAAAAAAAAAAAAATTCTGTTTAGAAGGGCTTGAATGTTTATTTTCATACAATTTGTCTAGAAATCTGATATGGTCTCTCACAGGTGGAGATTCAGGAGCTGCTGGACAAGCACAGATCTGTTCTCAATACAAAAATGCAGGACTTTGAGTTGGAAATGGAAGAAAGGAGGGAGTCCCAGAACAAGGAACTAAGGATCAAGGTTGACGGGGTGGAACAAAAGGAGCTGGAAATCAGCCACAGGGAAGAAAAGTTGTTGAAGAGGGAACAAGCACTGCATGAGAAATCAGAGAGGTTGAATGAGAAAAATAAGGAACTTGAAACAAAGCTGAAAACTTTGAAGGCGAATGAGAAAACCATCAAAGTTGATGAGAAAACTTTAGAGGTGGAAAGGCAACAACTACTTGCTGATATAGAGTGTCTTCAGAATCTTAGAGATGAAATTCAGAAGATAAAGGATGAAAACCTTCAACTGGAGCTCCATATTCGTGAAGGGAGGGAGAAGCAGGTAATTACTCAGGAAGAGAGGTCAGAGCACCTCCGTTTGCAGTCGGAATTGCAGCAGGAAATAAAGACTTATAGACTTCAAAATGAGTTGCTCTTGAAGGAAGCTGAAGATTTAAAGCAGCAGAGGGAAAAGTTTGAGGAAGAGTGGGAGGATTTGGATGAGAGAAAAGCTGAAATTAGCAGAGATCTGAAGAAAATTGTTGAAGAGAAAGAAAAATTAGAAAAATTACAAGGCATGGAGGAAGAAAGGCTGAAAAAGGAGAAAGATGCAATGCAAAATTCCATACAGAGGGAGCGGGACAGTCTCAAGCTTGAGAAAGAATCATTTGCGTCTCAGATGAGGAATGAGCAGTTAGCGTTAGCTGAAAAGGCCCAATTTGAACATAGTCAAATGGTTCAAGATTTTGATTCACAGAAGAGGGATCTTGAGGCAGATATGGAGAATAGGGAGCAGGAAATTAAGAAACGCCTGCAGGAAATGGAGAGAGCATTTGAGGAGGAGAAGGATAGAGAACATGCTAAAATTAATTACTTGAAGGGAGTCACTGATGAGCAAAGGGAAGAATTAAGATCTGAAAGGCATAGAATGGAAAAGGAAAGGGAAGAACTTGCTCTGAACAAGAAGCAACAAGAAGTTAATCAACTTGAAATGCGCAAAGACATTGGTCAGCTTGCTATGCTTAGCAAGAAGATCAAGCAGCAGCGGGAACAGCTTATTGAGGAAAGACGACACTTCCTTTCTTTTGTTGAGAAGCTTAAAAGTTGCAAGGACTGTGGAGAAATGACAAGGGAATTTGTACTTTCTGATCTCCAAGTACCAGGAATGTACCAAGTTGAGGCTGTTTCTCTGCCAAGGCTCAATGATGAACTTTTAAAGAACTCTTCGGCTGATTTAGGTGTTCCTGATTTGGAATACACAGAATCAGGATGGGGAACGTCTTTGCTGCGCAAATGCAAGGCAATGGTTTCTAAAGTTTCTCCAATAAAAAAAATGGAGTATATTACTGATGCAGGGTTTTCGGAGTTGCCCCCACTATCCGCTATTCAGGTTAATGTTGAAGAGAAAAGAATCGAATCTAATATGCTTATCAATGAGGGAGAAAGAGGGCACATCAGTCATGAAGACGAGCCTGGGCCATCTTTTAGGATGCTTAATGACTCTAGTGCTCAACCACTACCATCTGATAACACCACCAAGGAAGTGGATGATGGGTATGCTCCATCAATTGATGATCATAGCTTCATTGACAGTGAGGTTAAAGATGTTCCAGATGATTCCGGGCAATCTGAGATAAAGAGTGGTCGGCAACAACCGGCTAGGGGACGCAAGTCCAGACTGTCTAGGACACGCACAGTGAAGGCAACAGTTGAAGAGGCAAAGAAATTTCTCGGAAATACTCCAGAAGAACCATCAAATGCAAGTATGCTGCCTAATGATAGTAGTTACAATTATGAAGAAATTCAGGGAGCGTCCAGTTTTGCTGAGAAAGCAAATAGTAGCATTGGGAGAAAACGAAGGCGTGCTCAGAGCTCTAGGATTACTGAAAGTGAGCAAGATGATTGTGACAGCGAAGGACGTTCGGGCAGTGTCACAACAGCTGGTGGGCGCAGGAAGAGGCGACAATCCATTGCTTCTTCCGTGCAAACACCTGGAGAGCAGCGATATAACCTCAGACATCGCAAGACGTAAGTTGCTTAATGTGTATGAAATTATATGGCATGGTGACGGCAAAATGTGGAAGTAATTAATAAATTAGTGTTTGCAGTTTCTGTGGCGTGATCATAATATTAGGGCCAAGTTGGGTCAAGGTTGTATATCTATATAGACTTGTTGTCAGTCTCTCATTCTTCATGCATCGTTGCATTTGTTTTCAATCAACTTAAGGTTTAACGACAACTAGATATCAACATGGTTGAACGCTGGATATATCTTTTTGCGTTGGGTGCTTATGTTTATATAAAATTGTTGGGCTTTTTTTTCCCTTATCAATTTTAGTTTGAGAATATTGATATTTTGATGGATACACCAAGTACGGATTTGAATGTCAAACTTCTGGTAAATCTTATCACTGTAGTCTATTTGATTCTTTTCCTTTTTGGGTTACAAAGAACCGTTCTTTGACCCATTTCTGTTCTTGCCATGGAATATTAGCTGAGCACTTCAATTGTCCAGGTCCTTTCAGTTAATGCGTGAAATAAAATGTTTGTTAGATCCCAGAATAATCTATCCAATAGTCTTCACTAGGTGCACGTTCTGTTGTCCAGACAAATGATTTCCTAACCAGCTTCGGGTTAGTCCTGGAGTGACAATTTCACTGACCGTTATTCTGAAATTATTGTTCCTTGATCGGGGAAAATCATTCGGAAGGTATGTCTAAAAAGAGAAATTTTTAGTTCAGTTATTTGTACTTATATTGGTATGGAGAATACATTTGCTTCCTTCTGATAGTTTGGGAATGTATATAATCGTAGAAAAAAATTAAAGTAAGATGGTAAACGTGGATAAACTTATACAGCTAATCATTGAACTACCGAAGTATCTGTATGTGGAAGATGTGAATTTTTACGGTTTTACTTGTGACCTCATCTGTCATAAACTGTCCAAATCAAGGGATCTTGCACGATGTGTCGAGTGTGGGCATTTTCTATGCTGTACCATGTGAGGAAGTGTTTGGTTTTTCTAAATTTATCTATGAATGTTGATCAGTACAGGATCAGTCACAGCAGCACCAGCCACGGCTGACCTGAAGAAGAGAAGCAAGGAAGAAACTGGAGGTGGTGGTGTAGAACCAATTCCTGAATCTGTTTCTGTGTCATCATTGCGGACGGCTGGTGAGAATGGGCATACTACACAGTTGATGCAGGTCACTACATTAAAAGGTGCAGAATTCTCACAGGAGCGGGTTGTGAGAGTAATGTCCCCCTTACCTTTTACGGTGCCTTGTACATTGTGACGGTTATATCTGAAACGTCTAAAACTATGTGAATAAGGTCTGTTAACCTCTGTTTCATGTACTGCAGTTTAGAACACCAACAGCCACCGTTGATGACAATGCTGAAGCCGATGCAGCCAAATCAGTTGAAAATACAGATATGAGCGTGGAAGATATTGGTACACCGGAATCTGGTGGCGGCAACAATACAAATGGCGAGAGCGACGATGACTATGATGATGAGGACATTGAAGAGCGTCCTGGCGAGAAGTCAATAGGAAAAAAGATATGGACTTTCTTAACGACGTGATGGCGAAAACCAGTTTCTATTTACCATTTTACCGAAAACTTTGTAATGACTAGCTTCAGTTTGTGTGATTTCTTAGCTGCTTTTTGTTTTCTCATTTTCGTTGTAATTCCAATTTGAAATGGCGATTTCGTCGCCCTTTTTAAGTCTTTAGTTTTTGCTCTTCTTTTGGAGGGGTGGAAACATGGCTGAAGATATTATTACCAGCTTGTAACGCGTTTACTGCTAAGTAGCGCCTCGAATCTCGATTCAATAATATAATGTCATATTTTCTCTACCAACACAAACTAAGGAAAAAAAACCGGTATAATTATTCAATAATTACAATCCTCAAATGAATACCAATAAAGAAAGTCTCTAACTATTAATTATGAAGTCTAATTTAATGGGATTAGTGAAAACAAACAAGAAAGATGAAACTACAAATTAAAGACCCATATCTCTCTACTCTTCACATTTACCCACAAAAGCTTGCGCAGAAAAGGACTTATCATCCTATTGTACTAGGCCTGCCCAGAAAACAATTAAGTAGAGTTCGGCCTATGCCTTCTGATAGCCCTTCATTTATTGGACAAGGATTATCTGCCCTCTTACTTCCAGTGTATTTTCGTGCCATTCTGTTTTATGTGATCACGGTTAAACCATATTAATATTTTATATTATTTTTTTATAGAAATAATAAGATAAAAATAAATAGTAATATAAAATGTTGATATGGTTTAATCGTGATCATACAAACAAAAGGACACGGAAAAGCACAGGAAATGGAAAGGCAGATAATCCCTGTCCCCATTTCTCTCCCTCCCTGCCTGCCTGTATCCCCACTCTCTCTAGTCAGACACTCTGGTCCTCTTCCCCTCCTCTTCTCCCCTTAAAAACCCTGCTCTTATTTTAGGAAATTTTTACGAAAAACTTCTGGTACTATTAATTTTAACGAAAAATCATATTTTCACACTAAAAAGTTAATCATGTACTATTCACTTTACCCTTTATTTTGTATTCATCGTTAAAACTCAAAATTTTCAAATCATTTTCATTAGTTTTTCTTTTATTTTATGGCTTTTTAATGGTCATAAGATTGACATAACTTGGTTATTGAGATTTAAAATCGATAGAAGTGGTCATTGAGTTTATCCACTATTAATCATTTTGATCCTTTAAAAATCTCTATTAAATAAGAATAAAATGATAAAAATATTCTCAATTTTTATCAAATCATTTTGCCCATTGTTTATTAGATTGAAGGTAATTTTGTCATTTGATCCTTATTTAACAGAGATTTTTCACGGAATAACCAAAATAATTGATGGTGGATAAAACCACTTCTATATATTTCAAATCTCAGAGACCAAAATGAAGAGTTATGCCAATTAAGAACCGTTTTGTCTAAAATGCCCTTTATTTAATTTTTCCACAGCTGCTTGTGCTTCTTAACCATTATTTCCTTCATATTCCTCTTCTACTAAAATACAAACTTGTCCATGCAAATTGATTTCATATAATTTCATGACTGAAAGTCAAATTATTTTCCATTTTGGTATGGGAATAGTGAGTAAGTAGTACAATTATGTTGATGTGTTTGTCAACATTCCAATGAGAGGTATATGTTTAGGACAAAATTATATGCCACCTTTTATAACGGGATTTTAAGCTAATCTTTAACTATTATACTAGAAAATAACAAGTATGCTAATGTCTATTTAGTTTGGAATACTGGAATACCCTCAAAGTTTTGATTTTTGTCACATATTAACTATATAATTACATCTTTCAAACGAAAGCGAGTCTTAGCACAACGGAAAGGTTGATTCTTAGTGACCAAAGGTCACAAGTTTGAGTCTTTGAAAAAACATTTTGCAAAGCAAAAGTAAGGCTGCATACGATAGACGTTCTTCTCCCAACTCTAGCAAAGCCGAGAGCCTTTGTTGGCTTGGAGACACTCTTAATTATTTATTTCAAACAAAGGAAGGATGTTGTTTTCTTGGTTTTGGTAATGAAGAAGGGAATAGGTGGAACAAATGGTAAATACCATGGTTCAACTCCAAGATACACCATAACAGTATGAACTTGAAGCTGTTTCTAAGACCCATCTCAAGCCGTACAGTTTTTGCCCATCCTTTTTTCGGAGATTCAATGCAGCTTTTGTCTTGTTCATCGGTGTTTCAGAAAGCACTTAAAAGCCCAAAAGCAGAAAGCCCCAACCTAGAGAAGAATCAGCATTGAGAGATAAGAACCCAACTTTTTGTCTTGCATGCACTTACATGCACCACCCTACTCTCTCTGTCTTTTGCATGGACGTTGGTCCCCTGTTTCCTCTATGCCCTAAATCCTGCCAAACCCTAGAAATCCTCAACCCTTTACCATAACTAATCTCACAATCTTAACAACCCACCTCCCAACTACCACACCCTTTTAACCGACTAAAGTAACCATTCTTAATGGATATAATGATGATACAAGGCAACTAACTTTTCCTTTTGACGAGACAGTCTCAATTATGAGAAGAAATTAAACTTAAGTACAATGTGATGAGCTCATTGTTTCAAACAAAAAATCTAAACGCATGCATGCGAAGTTAATGTATAAATTTGTCGTGTAACTATGTTGGTTAGAACATCAAATTAATTAAAGTAGAGTGATACCTATCTGAACACAGAGTCTCAAACACAAACTCTATTTTTTATAATTTAATTCAAATTAATTTAGAATATTACTCGGATTAACGTAGAAGGATAATCAATAACAATAAATTAAAAGTATGACAAGACTATGACGAGATTGAAAGAAGAGCCGAATGCCTTTCGCTTTCTCCTTCAAGTCCTTAGTTACTACCGTCTTCTGATAATAATAACTATTATTTCTTTGATGCTCTTCGAGAACTGTGCTTTTGATCCTCTCTCTGTCTCTCTCTCTCTGCTCTATATACTTTCTTAGCTTTCCCATAAACATAACGAGTAGACTATAGAGCTCAGCTTTCTTGTTTCTGCTTCTGTATTTTTTCTCTTCTCTTCTTCCCTTTTTCCTTCAAACCCCATTTGGATCTTTCTCACATTCTGCTTGGCGCCTTGGGCCCCAAACCACGCGTGATTTTCTTCATATATATATATACATGTATACACACACATATATATAAAAGGGACGCGTTGATATTTCTCATGAAAATCACATCCATGCTTGTAGTTTCTGCTTCCTAAATCCATTTCTATTTTGGGTCAGTTTCTCATGTTTTCTTCTTCCCACGAACTCTAATCAAATTTCCCTCTAGATTTACCCTTTTGTATTGACTATTACCTCAAATCCATGAAGGGTTTTACTCCCATCAGTGTTGTGATTTTGGTAACCTTTCTGTTCTCTGTGGGTGCTTGGAGTTCTGAGGAAGCAGATGAAGGTGTAGCTCCAATGGAGAAAACGGAGCAATTAGCTCTGTACTCTGCAATCCAAGGCTTTGTGGGTAAATGGTGGAATGGCTCGGACCTCTATCCGGATCCTTGTGGGTGGACTCCTATACAGGTACTCTTTTTTAACCCCCAGCAACACCATCCTGTACTGTTTCTCTGCAACATTGCTTAAATCCAAAGTTACCGGCTATATATTCCTTTTTGGTTTTTACTTGTACGGTTGTACTTGACATAAGGGTAAATGGCAATGTTGTATTTAACGGTTAGATGTGAGCCGAAGAGTTTCAAGTTAACGGGCGAACCCGAGTTACTTAAAAGACAATGTATAGTATAGTAGGGCTTTAAAACAAGTTCCAATTATTTGTACGGGTTTTTCATTTGAAGTCGATATATATTTTCAATGTTAGGATTCGGTCAGCTAACATTTTTGCGGGTTCGGAATTGGTCGAAAGTTTTAAGCATTTTTAGTTTTGATACGATGAGGTTTTAAATTTCTGTTGCAGGGGGTGTCTTGTGATTTGTATGATGGGGTTTGGTACGTGACCTCCATGAATATTGGACCTATTCTTGACAACTCCCTTGGTTGTTCCCCAAGTGCAAAATTTAGACCACAACTGTTTGATTTGAAGCACCTAAAGTCCCTGTCCATTTTCAATTGCTTCCTCTCACCCCACAAGCATCCAGTTCCGATCCCCTCAGAAAACTGGTGGAAGGTTGCCGGCAGCTTAGAATCACTAGAGTTTCGATCGAACCCGGGCCTCATTGGACAGATTCCTACAACCTTGGGCAGCCTCAGAAAGCTCCAGTCATTGGTACTAGTGGAGAATGGATTAAGAGGTGGATTACCAACAAGTATCGGTGAATTAGTCCGATTGAAGCGGCTAGTTCTTGCCGGAAACTGGTTTACGGGCCAAATCCCCGATGGGTTTGGTGAATTGAATCAGCTGCTAATCCTTGATTTAAGTAGGAACTCACTGTCTGGGCCTTTGCCAATCAGCGTTGGACGTTTGACTTCACTCTTGAAGCTTGACTTGAGCAGCAATCAACTGGAAGGGCAGCTGCCAATAGGGTTTGGTAATCTAAAGAAGTTGACTTTATTGGACGTCAGGAGCAACAATTTCTCAGGTGGATTGACCAAATCACTTCAAGAAATGCATTCCTTGGAGGAAATGGTTTTATCCAACAACCCAATTGGTGGAGACCTCAAAACCCTAGAGTGGCAAAACATGGAGAGTTTGGTATTTTTAGACCTCTCCGGATTGGGTCTAATTGGTGAGATTCCAGATTCAATTTCAAACCTAAAAAAGTTGAGATTTTTGGGTTTAAGTGACAACAAGCTCACAGGCATCCTCTTGCCAAAGATTGCAACTTTGCCCTGCCTCAGTGCACTCTACCTCCACGGCAACAACCTGACAGGGGAGCTTAAATTCTCTGAGTCGTTTTATCACAAAATGGGGAGTCGTTTTGGTGCTTGGAACAACCCTAATCTCTGCTACACCAGTGGAATGGTGCCAGCAGAGCATGTCCCAATTGGGGTGAGGCCATGTCAGCAGGAGGGGGAGGAGGTCACTTGATTTATAAAGATATCCCTTCTTTTTAGAACTATAGAATATAACTTCTCTAGTTGGAAGCAACCGTAACTTAGAATTTTATTGCTTGTTTTGTCATGCTTTATTTTGCCTCTTGGCATGAATCAAAACAATATTTATGCTTTCCTGTTCTCGATCAAATCAAATTTGGACCGGACACAAAACCGACCGAATTAGAGACCATTGTAAGTGGTTTGATTCGCTTTTAACATTAAAATCATAATATTGGACACAAATCCGCATTGCTTAGTAGTTAAAAAGGTTGGTCACAAAACCGGCCAAACTTATGGATGGACACAAAATCAACCGAATTTGGCTCTATTTTAACATAAAATATGTGTAATCTTTAACAAAACCAAACCATATCACTTAACAGTTAATAGATTTAGTCGTGATTTGGTGACGACACTAATTCAAATCGAACCGTGACCTTCCTTAGTATATGAAGCGGGATGCCAACTCTACTGCACATGTAAAAAGGATAATCTGGTATCACAGAAAATAAGAACATATGATTGGGCAGTTGCTCTACAAACCAATATACAGATGGCAAAAATTCATTTGGGTTTCTTGCTAAACAGAGCAACCCCAACCCAACTAACTGTAAATGCTGGGAATTTTTACCAGCAGAGGGAAGTGACTTCAATGGAAATACGGGCAAGTGTGACCCTTTTATTGCTTTTTCAAAAGGATAAAAAGGTGCAAATGCTGGCACGACTTTAATACATTGAAAGTGAAATTTGGATCACCATTGCTAGGTATTAAAAGTTGGAGCTTCCAGCTTCCTGCATGGCTTTGTACTCTTGCGGCAATGGGTAGACTTTTGTAGGCTGTGGAAGCAGTGACCACAGAAGTGCTTTTGTAGACCTTGACTATTAGGTTGGATCCATAAATACAATTCCAGACCCAATTGAATGTAAATGCTGTGTCCACCATTCTCTTTGTTCTAGGACCTAAGTGAGGTCATTTTCTTTTGATTTTCTTGGGCTTGATTGAGTGGCTTCTGTGGGAGAAGCTGAATATCCCTTTGGGAAACTATATGGTTTCCATGCCTTTCCTAGTCTTCAACACTTAATAGTTAGTACGCTCAGTTCAACAAACATGTTGTATACGTGCATGAGTTTCTCTCTCATCGCATGAGCGAGCGTATACAATTTCTGAAACGCAAGAAAAACAGCCACACCAGCGGCTTGACTCGAGTCCCCCGTCTCCACGGCTTTCCTTTTAGCAACTCTTTCAACCACTCTGACATCCATCATCTTCCCGCTTCGCTCACCCAGTATCTGTTGATTATTCACCCCTTCCACACGATGAGTGGACGGGGAAAACCCCAACCCAACGTTACACGTTCTCCAAGTCCAAGGGGATCCAGTGCCCAACTATCGACTCCTGCCAAAATTGCACAACTTACCAGACAAAGCCAAGATGAACCGCTCGGCAAAAGCGAGCATACTTAAATAGCTCAAGCTTACCAAGCCTAGTCTACAAAAACAAGGCTCAATTTCTCTTTCAAACATTGTTACTACCACTCTCTTTTTTGCCCTAGTGCTACTAAGTACTGCTTTTCTGATGGTTTTGCCGCATAATTGAAAGGATTTTCTTTAAACATGAGCATCATTTATTTACAAGAGTTCATATGTTCAAAGTATAATAACTGCAAAGAGATTTATATAGTAGGATAGTGATTTTCATGCTCTCGTAGTTTTCTCCAACATTTTTTCATCTTTTATTTCAATTTATTTTCAATTTTGATTCATTCAATCCAAGAGCTAAAAAACAAAAGTAGGAATGCAAAAAGAAAAAACTGGAGTGTAGAACTCACTTCCCCTAAGAAATTACGAGAGCCTTCGAGTGCGAAGCGAGAGTATAATTAATCACTGAAAACTTGCTTTCCTGATAAGTACATATTGCACTCTATCATTTTCAACGTGTTGACAATGCGATTGAGAAAATTCAATTGAAATGCTTCAATGCTTTATTTAGGAGACATTCGGGGGGAAACGGAAATGTTAGACTTTTTGTAAAAGCTATAAAATACAAGTTTTCTTTTAAAAGGGACTGTATAGTGGCTTTGTCACGTCAGTCTATCATTTCGTAAATCGAAAAGACTCATATATAGTGACATTTCAGCTTCTTATAACCACCATCGTATGATTCACCATCGTCTGAAATTGAATTCAGGACATACCATGTATAATACGTACCTAAAATTCGTCATCAATCACGGACCATCTTGTGGTGGTTATAAAATACAAGTGTGGAGTACATTGAATTATGTTATGCGAGTTTGATTAGGTAAGCTTATTTTGATGTGGCTTTCCATAAAATTTTGATTCCTTATTATCTTAAAACTTAAAAGTCCAATAAAAGAATATGTTTCCAAATTGGAAATATTAGATATTGCTAGAGGAGCCATTCTTTCAATCTTAACCTAGATAAAGTATAGTGACTGATTGACAGTTGCTAGTAGTGTACCCAGTTTTGTGTTTTGGTAGAAGAATGCATTTTATATTATTGACTTTTGCATCTTTGAAATGAAATAAACTTGCATGCAACAGGTTTGGTCGATACACGACGTCTCGACTTAATAATTAACAAAGATATGTTAAAAGTAAAAATAAGTTTGTGAAGAGTAATATCCTAATAATACTGTCAACTGTGTACTATTTGGGAAGGGTTTCTCTAATGCACATTAGAAGTGTACAATTCAGTTACACATTAGAATAAAAGTCGTTAAATCTTTTTCCATAACTGGACCTAACGGGTTTTATTTAGATGTGTAATCACTTTTAATGCAAGAAAATTCAGTATTTGAGGAAGACAAAAAGGATTTTACAGTTTATGGCGTTTTTGTGTTAGGCCTTGTTGGGCTTCACCAATCAGCCCAACTTAATTCATTCGGTTTGTCGTGGGCTGCCGCAGAAATGCCTGGTCCAAATTTGAGTCGGAGCGGATGTGAATTATTAGCAAAAAAGTTGGAGATGTGACTCGCCATATTCTAAATACAACAAGACCCCATGACTCAACAAACAGGAGTATTGAAATGGACGGTCCATAAGTGAGCAAACTACCACATTGATGGCCATGGGGTTTGTTTTTTATAGTACTCTCTAGTCACTATGCACACAACCAATTCATGCTAAATTGGTGTGACAATATGTCACATAGGAAGAGCCATCACCAAATGGTATGTTTCACACCCGTAATATTTCCACTAGGACGAGTACTGGTCCCAAAACCCTAATTCTAACTTTCTTTTTGGGGAAACCCTAATCCTAGCTAGTATGAATCTACTTTGACTTTTAGAATTTTGATGACTTGAGGGTTTACACCAAAACTTACGCTATTTATTCGATGATTTTGAATATTATTGTCAAGTGTCAACGAACAACAACAAAACCCAGCGTCCATAATCTCCGGATGCCGGTCTCAACAAATAAGGTATCTTACATTGTTTTCCATTTGTCTAATTTTTCTTTGATTTTGGATTTATTTAAACCCTAATCCAAATCCTAAACGTAATGCAATGGCCAAACACTGGCTAATTAAACTGATAATTTATATATAGTGCAGCAGCAGCTAGCACCAATTCATGAGCATGCATCACATTGACGTTTGACATGGAATTTTTTAATTGATCTTAAATTTCATTACCAACCAGATGGCATTTGTCACACATTCAACACGCAAACCCTCCTTCCCAAGTCTTTGATTTCGACCCATTTACCTGACTTCTTGATATATTCATCAGTCCATGAGTCGTCCTACATTATTTTTTAAAATAATAGTCAGCTAGATACAACATTATTTTGGTCAATTAAGGTGTATTACTTAGATTGTTGAATCTACTTTCAAAATGGATACGCATGCATATGAAATATATGTAAATCAAGGACGGATGACGTGTTATTAATGTTAAATTTGTATCGTTTATCCAAGTGTAATTTACATATTTTATAAACTTATTAACGTCATATTAACAGTAAAGAATGGAAGTTGCGTTCAGAAGAAAACATGTAACTTAATCATTTTCTTTATTTGTACATGTATTGTTATCACAACTCACAAGTGAGATTATGTACCAAAAACAGGTATCCGTCAATGTCATATGAATGAAAGTTAAACAAAGAAATTAGTGGACCCGTTCAAGGCTTGTATTCTTGCCAGACCTTCGCACGCAAAAGATCATCACCATCATCCATTCGTCCCTCATCCTCATATGACTCATCGTTCTAAAAAAGAATTTTCATAACGGTTAAAAATTCCTGATGATAATTTAAGCCATAATTATGGACATAACAATCATAATTAAATGATTATTTATACCAAAGCTGAGGGACTTGGACTATACCATCTACGTACGTTAATTAATTAAGTCATCATAAACTTAATTAACATATGTAATTGTTTCATTAATTCTGTTGAAAATGTGATCAAGTGATTAATTAGAGGGCCAACATGGAGGTTAATTACTAACTTCATTATATAAGTTGATCATCTTATACATATAATATAGGCGTGCTAACTTGCCGTCTCTGAAGTCCAATTTTTGCTGCGTGTGAGACAAAATTACTTCCTGTCCCCAAAATGTAAAGGAATTCCATTATTTCAAGCACCCAAAAGCTACTATTTTCTATTATCTTTCTTTGGTTCAGAGCTGAAAAGATACAATACACAAACAAACAAACAGCCTTGCCCAAATCGCGGCTTAATCAATTGCACTACAACACACTTATTCTTCGCACTTCTGCATATCTAAGCAATGTGGTCCAAATTTTTGTTGAAGAATGTAAAAATCGATACATCGGAAAATCAACAAAGTAAAATACAATATATTGTGAACTGTTTTATTACTAACCTTATGGTGATCTCTTGAGGTAAAACCTCGCACATGTCGTATTGTGCATATAATATATGCAAGTTAAGAACAATATTAGTGTAATTAGTATTGAATCGCTGGTCTGTTTCTCTCAAAACTTTGACAATTTTAATTCACAAAGTGGGTGGTGTTTTCCTAGAAAAATCTTCACTCATATTTGACCTGAAAGAGAGAAATTGGGAATTTGGAAGGTGAAATATTGAAAAAAATATAAAAGAAATAAAGGCAAAATGCCAAGTCTTTAGCCG